ATAATCTCGAGGGAACTGCTATGGAAAAGAAACGCCAGCCCATCTGAAGTAATCACCATGGAGACCAGGGGTTCCAGAAGGGCATTTGTGAGGAAATGACCCCGAAGCAGAAAGCTATAGATGAGGAGTTAAGCCGATCAAATGAGGTGGGGAAAGAGGTAGCAAAGGGTGGCACAGGGAACTGAGAGGAAAGCCTGAGGACCCTATTAGTGCAGAGACTATTTGGCGTGTGTGTGTGTGTGTGTGTGTGTGTGTGTGTGTGTGTGTGTGTGTGTGAAGATTTGGGCTACAGGGTAGTAAAATGAGAAATCACTGAAGGGTCGTAGATAACAAAAGTGGGCTTGCACTTTAAACACACCCACACCACTACTCCCTCTCCAGGTGCCACGCGTTGGTGAAGGAGTAGAAATGGGGGAAAGGCAGGAAGCTGCTGCCTGTGGTCCAGGTAAAGGGCCCAGGGGACTGGGCATACGGCATGAGCAGTGTGCTCAACAGTGCCAAGCTGAGTGCTGCAGCGACAGGCTTAGCAAGATGGACTCAGTCTCCACCTCGGTGTAGCTTGTGAGGACGGACAGTGAAACAGCGTTCCTGACAGGGATACATGCGATGAAACTACAGTTCTCTGAGCAGATGAGCAGAAGTTCTAAAATACCTACGGTACTCTGTAGTCTCCTGGGCCTTTTCAGATAAACCCTGCCCCTTGAATCCCAGGTTAGAGGCTTAGGGATTGTACCACAGTGCTAACTAGGCCCTTGCCTAGATTTCAGAGTATATCTGTGGGGACTTCTTTGATAAAAGAAATGGACACCCATTTATGTAGGACTCAGCCAGCCACGATAAGCTTAATAGAAACAGACCATCCAAAGGACGTTCTTAACTTCCAACCATTATCACTTGCCAGTGTAGGACTTGGCCATCAATAAGTTTAATGGAGGCCTAAGTCTCAGTAGTTTATCCTGAAACAACACTTGGTTGCAGGAAGGACCATAAACTGAAAGCACCACCCAAGAACAGACCATCCGAAGGAAATTCCTCACATTCTAACCATTGAAGATAGGACCACCTGCCAGAACACACCAGGACACTCCTATACAAATGTCAGCCAATCAGGGGTTCTGAACCTTAGAAATCCCTCACCCCTACCTTTACTACTATAAAAACCCAACTCTAACGGAGCTCGGGCTCTCTGATTATTCCAATCACAGAGAGACCAAGTTTGCAAACTTGTTTAAAATAAAGTCTCTTTGCTTTTACATACATCTCCTTGTGGGTTTTTTTGGGGGACTTGGCGGATCTGGACATAACAGTTCCACAGTTCCAGTCTGGGTCTTGGTTCTCTCGTTTGCAGCCTTGGGTCTAAACTAGAGCCTCCTGGAAGCTCAAGAGTGCCAATTAGGAAAGCCTGTGATATCTAGAGATCCAACCAGACTAGCCCCCAGCAAATCACCCGACCAGTGGGGACTCCCAGCATCCTCAGCACCGGATCAACGGGTGTGGGAGGAGGTTGTCCCCATCATCCCAGCACCCGTTACAACCACAGGGTCAGGGGCTCCTCGCCAAACTCCTATCCTCTCTTCATGAGACTTAACCTCCTTACCTACCCCTCATGAGAATCTGCTGAGTCCTGCTGGCTCCAATACAAAGACAGTTATGATGGGAGAGACACTTTCACTAAAAGCCTTTCATTTCCAGCTTCTGGGAAACAGAATTATATGTCTGGTCTGCTAAAGGATTTCCCCCCTGGTGAAACTATTTTAATACTTTTGTTAAGTAGAGGCCCTCTCTCTTTCCATGTTTTGTTGTTCTTCGTGTGTATGGGTATATTGCTTGTGTGTATGTCTGTGCACCACATGTGTATGGGTATATTGTTTGTGTTTATGTCTGTGCACCACATGTGTGTTTCGTGCTTGAGGAGGCCAGAAGAGGACAATGGATCCCCTGGAATTATACTAACAGTTGCCAGCTGCCATGTGGGTGCTAGGAAGCAAACCTGGATCCTCTTGAAGAGCAGCAAGTGCTCCTCCTCCTCTTCTTCTTCTTCCTCTTCTCTTCTTTCTTTCTTTCTTTCTTTCTTTCTTTCTTTCTTTCTTTCTTCTTCTTCCTCTTCCTCTTGCTCCTCCTCTTATTTTTTTAATTTTTTAGATGTATTTCTTTTATTTTATGTGTATGACTATTTTACTGTGAATCATGTGTGTCCTGGAAGGCAGCAGATCTCACTATAGATGGCTGTAAGCCACCATGTGGTTGCTGGAACCTCTGGAAGAGCAGCCAGTGCTCCTAACCTCTGAGCCATCTCTCTAATCCTGCCTCCCATCTCTATTCTTAAAGAAAGAACAACCTTTCTTTTGGAGCTGGCTTCCTACAGTGGTTTGTCTTAGGATTTCTATTGCTGGGAAGACACCATGACCATGGTAATGCTTACAAGAAAAACATTTAATTAAGGTGGCTTACAGCTCAGAGGTTCAGTTCATTATTATTGTGGTGGGAAGCATGGGAGCACTCAGGCAGACATGGTTCTGGTATATAGACTAATCTGGTCTTGAACTCACAGAGAGCCACCTGCCTCTGCTGTCAGGTGCTGGGATTAGAGGTTTATGTCACCTTGCTCTGCTGAGATTAAACAACATTAAAAAAAAAACATGTTGTCAGACTCTCACGTCATAATTTCTGATTTAAGACTTAATTGATGGAGGCCTAACCACTTAGAATGCTCTGTGTGTGTGTGTTGCTTTATTTTAAATTTTCTCAGGTTGTCAAATGTGATGGTACAGACATTTAATTCTAGTATTCAGGAAGCTGAAGTAGGAAAATTGCAAGTTTGAGACCAGCTGGGATGTACTTAGTGAGACTGTCTTTGAAAAAAACCATGGGGGTGTCAGAGGGAGGGGAGAGAAGGAAAAGAGGTGGAACAAAACCAGCATGCTCACCCAGAGGAAGTGGTACACACCTTTAAAACTAGAAATGAATATCCACTTTTTTAAATTAAATAATATGGAATGTTTCAAGAACTTGCATGTCATCTTTGTGTAGGGACCATACTAATCTCAGTATCATTCCAGTTTTAGTATATGTGCTGCTGAAGGGAGCGCATGAACACAGACATTTTTCGAGACAAGATTTCTCTGTGTAGCCCTGTCCTGGAACTAGCTCTGTAGATCAGAGCCGGCTCCAAACTCACAGAGATCTGCCTACCTCTGCCTCTCAAGTGTAGGGACTAAAGACATGTGCCACCACCACTCAGCATGAATACCTACTTTTTTTTTAAAGATATTTATTTATGTATTATGTATATATTGTTCTGCCTGCATGCCAGAAGAGTGCACCAGATTGTATTACAGATGGTTGTGAGCCACCATGTGATTGCTGGGAATTGAACTCAGAGCCTTTGGAAGAGCAATTAGTGCTTTTAACCTCTGAGCCATCTCTCCAACCCAGTGAAATCTCACTATGTAGCCTAGGTTGACCCTAAAGTCCCTGTGTAGCCCAGGCTATTCTTAGCCCCTCTGTAGTACTGGAATTACATCTGTAGGCGTGCACCACCTACTTAATTACTATCTATTCATGTGTTTAAATATTTATTTAGAGACAGGGTCTCACTTTGTTGCTCTGGTTGACCTAGAAATCACTGAGGACCAGGCTGGCCTAGAACTCATATAGATCTGTCTGCCTCTGCCTGCCAAGTTCTGCAATTGAATGTATACAACACCACACCTACTAGCATTGATTTCTGGTAGTCTGGCAGGTTTACGTCAAATAAAGATGATCTGGTATATTTACTGTCGACCTCTTCCTTTACATTTATAACCTATATAACCCTCTATAGCCCATACAACTGGTGAATTGGGTCCAAGACCAAGTAGTAGTGGGATTTTTTTTCCTGGTGTGAAAACATTACCTAGCTCTTGACCAGTGGTAGCATATCCAGTGGAAGACAGAGTTACTTGATTTAGCCATATCAGTGAAGGAGCCAAGAGAATTGTCACCACCAAATAGGAGTTTCTGTTTTTACTTATGTCTGAAAAAAAAATTTCAGTGGTGGGAATATTAACAGGAGAAGGATTCAGTAAAGAGCACGTAGTAATGGGTTTGATGATGTCAGTGAGTTTGATGATGTCAGTCAGTAGGTTTGGTGATGTCAGTAGGTTTGGTGATGTCTGTGCGTTTGGTGATGTTATTGACTTCATGACTCATCCCAAAGATCAGCTTGGACATTATGTAGAGAACAAAGAAATGAGCTGTTTTTTTCCTAGATAAGAACTGTCTGTCCGCACAAGACCAAGATCTTCTCAGGCCTAATACCTGATGGCTGCACAGTGTTACAAAGATTATTCCTAAATTAATACAAACTTTGGATTACTTTGTCAAGGACTCTGGGGGGTTGTATTTGAAGTCATTTTGTATTGACCTATTACTCACTTTTTGGCTTCAGGCCAATGCTGTGGTAAACTAACGGCAATTCAAATGCGATTTTGATACAGTTCCTAAGCGTGACTTCCGGCACTCTAGAAGCAAAAGCACTCTGTCACTCGCAAGATATGCTGGCTCAGGTGGAATTGCTTAATTGGTAGCCTAAGATGTGTTTACAGAATTAGATACGCACGACATTTTGCTTTCCCAAGTCACCACAGAGTGGTTTGACCTTAACTAGCTCACAAACTGAATCTCGGTTTTTGCAGACAAAAGATTAATTACCATCTACCATTAAAGGTAGTGGTGTATGAAGATGACATATTGCTTCTCTGAGACCTGAGGCAGCTGTAATCTGTTAACTGTCAACTTGATGGGATCTGGAACCACTTGGGAGCTGAACCTCCAGGCACACATGTAAGGGATTATTTGGAGTCTTGGGCATGCTTTGATGAATATGTTGCTCACATTAACGGTGGTAGGAAGACCTATACTAGAAGTGGGTAGCACCGTTCCCTTACTTGGGTTCCAGACATAAAAAGGAAAAAGGCCCTGAGTATACTCATACCATCCTTCTCTGTTTCCTTGTGCAGATGCAATGTGACCAAGAGCCTATGACTTCCCTACGATGATGGACATGTGACAGTGACACAGAATAAGCCCTTCCTTCCTAAATTGTTTATCCCAGGGGGTAACAGCAACAGAGAAAAAAAAAAACAAAGACAACAAGTTATCAAATTTTGTTCTTTCACAACCCACCTGTCTGGGTCACTGCAGAAAAGATGGAATCATATCTATAAAGCATCCGACAGTTTCCAAGAGAGATAGGTATTTAACAATGCCATATTTCCTCCCTACCCTTACTCCTGCTGTCTCGTACACTCCTGAAAATATTTCTAGAGGTGAACCCATGGGAAGATGCTTGAAGAAGCTTCACTCCATCTCAGCAATGTGCTACCCTCTCAAAGACAGTGCAAAGTGAACATTCACACAATTTTGAGTTCAGATTTTGTTCATCCCACACCAAACTCTTCTCCTTGGTGTAATTATGAAGTGTGATAGCCTTCTGACATCACCTTGTTTCCTCTGCCTAATACTTTCTTAAGACAATGGATTGAAGATCTATGCCCATGCTGCTAAAATTCATATGCTGGCCCTTAAGCCTTGGTGTGACAGAGCTAAAAAAGGAACCCTTGAGAAGTGGTTAGTTTGTGAGTGCAGAGCCTTATCAACGACATCAATGCTACCTCTATTTCCACCAAAACACAACACAGAGACAATTACAATCTGTGTACTAGGAAGCCCTCAGTTAACACTGAAACTTCCAGCACCTTCATCCTGACTGTTCAGGTTCCAGCACTCTAAGAATTAAATGCGTCCTGTCTAAACCACTCTGTCCATACTGGTTTGTTATAATAACCTGAACAGGCACTAGGTTAAAGATGCCTTGGTAAGTGGAAGACTTGTATGACAAGAACTTTAAATCTTTGAAGAAAGAAATTGAAGAAAACACCAGAAAGTGAAAAGACCTCTCATGCTCTTGGGTAGGCAGAATTAATATAGTAAAAAATGGCAATCTACGGATTCTGTTGGACTAGAAGTCCAAACATCAGGGAGGAGTTGCTCCAGACACCACTCACAGCTGCAACTGATGCAAAAGAAGAAGATTTTTATTCTGTCATGACAGGGTCTTTCAGGTTCGGGATATGAAGGACATCGATAGCTGTTACAGTCCATCTTTTAAAGCGAACAGCCACAGACACAAGGGGGAAACCTGTAGGTTGTTTTCCATCTTATTGGATTGGCTTATTCAAAGGGTTACTAGCAGTGATTGGTCTATTCCAGAGCAGGAGGATAGCTGCATGGTCAGGTGATAAGGGAGAGCGTCTGTGGTCCATCCTGACCTTGGTCCAGTGACTAAATCAATACATCAGGAACTGAGTCAACATCTGTGGGTTGTCTTTGCCTCAATTCCCAGAATGGAGTTATGTTTGAGATTATTCACAAGGACACAGGTCGATAAGCAGTCCAGAATGTGCGTGTGTGTGGGCGACTGTCCCTTTTCCAAGATAGAGTGAGTGTAAGGTTTTAGAAAAATGTCTTAGGTTGGTTGAGGGGGGCTTACAAATGCATTTAGAGTCTTTCAATTCAACACAATGCCCAGCAAAATTCTTCAAAGACCTCGAAAGGATGGTACTCAACTTCATTTGGGAAAGCAAAAAACCCAGGATAGCCAAAATAATCCTGTACAATTAAATAACTTCTGGAGCATCACAATCCCTGAATTCAAACTCTACTACAGAGCTACAGTACTGAAAACAGCTTGGTACTGGCATAAGAACAGATAGGAGGAACAATGGAACCAAATAGAAGACCCAGATATCAATTCATACATTGACAAACACCTGATTTTGACAAAGAAGCAAAAAATATCAAATGGAAAAAAGAAAGCATATTTAACAAGTGGTGGGGCTGGAGAGATGGCTCAGTGGTTAAGAGCACTGGCTGCTCTTCCAGAGGTCCTGAGTTCAATTCCCAGCAACCATATAATGACTCACAACCTTCTGTAATGAGATCTCACACCCTCCTCTGGCGTGCAGGCATTTATGGAGGCAGAATGTTGTATACATAATAAATAAATAAATCTTAAAAAAAGGATTTGATTATCTTTAAAAAAACAAGTGGTGCTGGCATAACTGGCTATCAACATGTAGAAAAATGAAAATAGACCCATATCTATCACCATGCACAAAACTCAAGTCCAAATGGATCAAAGACCTCAACATGAAGCCAGCCACACTGAACCTTATAGAAGAGAAAGTGGGAAATACACTTGAACACATTGGCACAGGAGACAACTTCCTAAATATAACCCCAGCAGCACAGACACTGAGAGAAACAAGTAATAAATGGGACCCCCTGAAACTGAAAATCTTCTGTAAGCAAAGGACATGGTCAACAAGAGCAAGAGACAGCCTACAGAATGGGAAAAGATCTTCTCCAGCCCCATATCAGACAGAGGTCTGATCTCCAAAATATACAAAGAACTCAAGAAATTAGTCACCAAAAGATCACATAATCCAGTTTAAAAAAATGAAGTACAGACCTAAACAGAAAACTCTCAACAGAGGAATCTAAAATGGTTGAAAGACACTTAAGGAAATGTTCAGCATCCTTAGCCATCAGAGAAATGCAAATAAAAACAACTCTGAGATTCTATCTTACACCTGTAAGAATGGCCAAGATCAAAAACACTGATAACAACTTATGCTGGAGAGGTTGTGGGGAAAAGGGAACACTTCTGCATTGCTGGTGGGAATGCAAGCTGGTACAACCCCTTTGGATGTTAGTGTGGCGATTTCTCAGAAAATTAGGAAACAACTTTCCTCAAGACCGAGTAATACCACTTTTGGGTATATATCCAAAGGAAGCTCAATCGTGCCACAAGGACATGTGCTCAGCTATGTTCATAGTAGCTTTGTCATAGCCAGAACCTGGAAACAACCTAAATGCCCCTCAATTGAAGAATGGATAAGAAAAATGTGGTACATTCATACAACGGAGTACTACACAACAGAAAAATAACGACAGCTTGAATTTTGCAGGAAAATGGATGGAACTAGGAAACATTTTGAGTGAGGTAACCCAGACCCAGAAAGACAGTTATCACATGTACTCACTCATAGGTGGTTTTTAAACATAAAGCAAAGAAAACCAGCCTACAAACCATAATCCCAGAGAACTTAGACAACAATGCGGACACTAAGAGAGACTTACATAGATCTAATCTACATGAGAAGTAGAAAGTAGAAAAAGACAAGATCTCCTGAGTAAACTGGGAGCATGGGGACCTTGGGGGAGGGTTGAAGGGGGAAGGGGAGAGGCAGAAAGGGGAGCAGAGAAAATGCAGAGCTCAATAAACATCAATAAAAAAATTGAAAAAAATGTAGAAAAAAGCCTCAGGAGAAAGTTACTTTCAAGAGTATAGGTTAGCGTGAAATTGGCTTTTTCTGTCTTACCTATTCAGATTGTCCAGTTAGGTCTTGAACTTCTGCTCTGACTTAACTTCACTAGTGGCAGAGACTGCAGTTCTGTACCATCAGGCCTGGCAACTGTAGCTACTTTAAAATGTACTCTTCTTTCTTTGGTTTCTAAAGAATTTTTATATGGCTGTAGCAAACACAGCATCCAGGGTGGAGAGATGGCTCGGTGGTTGAGTGCATCCTTTCGGGTACACACATCAGATGGCACACAACTGCCTATAACTCTAACTCCAGGAGATCCCTTGATCTTTTAGTTTCCATAGGAACCTGCATTCATGCACATATTTACACACGTATGCACACACACTCACACACACACAGATGCCTTGGTAAATATTCACTATTCATTGTATGAAGCTACTAGATTAAAGAAATAAAAACTATAAATAGAGGCTATTATGTAGAGATAGCAAGAAAATTAAGATAGAAATAGCTAAAAATTAGAGTAGTAAGTGCAAAGCTAGCTATTAATTGGGCAATAAGGGAAGCAGAAGTCTTACAATTGCATTTTAGACTGTCACAAACTATTCATTTTTTGCATGTGTATGTTAATTTTACTAATATATCTTTAACTTTTTAACTCTTTTATAAGTGGTATATCTCAGAGATGCCTGAGACCTGTAAGGAGAAAGCAAACTATTATTATAGGTGCGCTAGTTACGGTTGGCTGGGAGCTATAATCAATTAACCCCAAAATGTCTAATGGCCCCAAAACTGTAGATATTTATTATTCACTTTCAGAGCAAGACAGTTCTAGGTGGTGAGACGGGGAGAGGGGCTGGAGAAATGGGAGGAGGGAGGGAGACTGCCTGTTCTACATTGACACTTCAGAGCCAAGGTCGGTAGGCTTTGCCATCTTTAGCTGTGGTTATGAAGGTCACCTGAAAACCAGCATCCAGAAGACAGGAAAAGAGAGAACACAAGATACTACCCAGAAGACGATCATTACAAGGCTCTCCCACAAGGCTATGCACTTCTGCCTACAATGGTAAAAACTCAATCACTTACCCACACTAAACTACAAGAAAGACCAGGAAATATGGGCTTCTGTATTCTCTACAAGAAAGGGAAGTTCCCGGGGTTGATCTGCATTTAGCAGTCTGTCATGGGTTACTTTGATCCTTCTAGATTCCCAAGTTGGGGAACTCACAGCTAGATCTAATGACTCAATTAGGGCAAAACCTTCACTCCAAAGACAAAGAGACAAGAAGGGGTTTTGACACATCTCAGTTTATCTTTCAGTTCAGAGAAAGTGTTCCAGTCCTAAGTTTACTGAGAGTGCCCCCCTGCACTGGCTCACTGAGTAGTTTTCTGAGCTTGCAGGATATGGGCAGGATATTCCACAAATACAAAGGAATAAATGCCCAAAGTCAAACCTCAGCCAAAGATGGAGTGGATCTGGCAGGTAAGAACAGGTTCATCAGGGTTTCATTCCTATCTGCCAGAAAACAGAGACAAAACAAAACAAAAGCAACAGAAGAACCACATGCCTCTCCACAGTTGAATAGCTAAATACATGGGTAAAGTCACAAAATTGAAATAGGACACAGCAATAAAGCAGGAAAACAACAACAGAAGATTGGTACAAGTAACACAGATAGCATTGATACTAAGTTGAATAAATTAAACCAAATTTAAAAGAATCTATACTTAGATACCATTTAATACCACTTTTACAAAGTTCAATAATGAACAAAACTAATCTGTGGTGACCTGGGCTGGCAACACACACCTATGATCCCAGCACCTGGGAGGTGGAGGTCATCCTTGGCTACATGGCAAGTTTAAGATGAACCTCGGTGCACAAGACCCTGTGTTCTTCACAGCCCAGAGGATGATCTATATAGCCATATTTCTACTTTAAATGAGTGAGTTTATTTAGAATATAACAAGCTAAAGTAAAAGAATAAGTAGCAGGTGCTAGACTATCAGACAGCAAAGAATCATCAAATTGGGCATTCAAAATATTTAGCAGGGACTGGAGAGATAGCTCAGTGGTCAAGAGCACTGGCTACTCTACCAGATGACCCAGGGTTTGAATTCCAGCATTTGTCTAGCCTCCAAGGGCACTGAATGCACATGGTGCACAGGCATACATGCAAACCCAACACACATACACATAAAACAATTAGCATAAATCAGCTGAGGAAGTCAGCTAGAGTTTCTGCCAGAGTCCTCAGCAAAGTAGAGTGTCCCCTTGTGTAATGCTTTCAAGTAAAAGAGCCGATGGGCATCATTGCAATGACATCATCAGATCAGGTGTTCACAACGTCCTGCAAAAGTTGAAGCAGTTGCCTAGAGTTCCTGGTTGAGGTTTTTTTTTTTTTTTTCCACAAATGAGTATTGCATGGATGGCTGAAGTCCTGGTCTTTCTTTTCCACCGCAGGCACTCTTATAGGGAGAGTAGAAAAGAACTGTGTAGGAGTAAAAATGTATTAGCCAGCTATGGGCTCTCTACCGATATCCCAGAACTCAGAAGACAGAGCTGGGCAGATTTCTGTGATGTTGGGGTCAATCTGGTCTACACAGTGAGTTCCAGGCTTGCCAGGGCTGTATAATGAGACCCTGGCTAAAAAAAACCAAACAACAGAATGAATAAATTAATAAAAGCTCCAATAACGTTTTATCCTCGAAAATATCTAGAACGTAGACCTTTTCCAACAGAAATTACTACTGTTTAATCCCAGAATGTAAGTCTGAAAGGCTGATGGAGCCAGGATTCTGGGAGCTCAGAATTCTGCTAAACTCTCTGATCATTAGTACATCCTTTGGGGGCATATAAAAGGAACAATGAAGACTTAGAACTCCTCAGACTGAAAGCTACTGTCTAAAATTCAATTTCATGGGCATGGCACAGAGTTGGAGTTTTTATTACAGTAATCAATAATGAAAATCTGGGGTGAAATTAACTGTGTGAGCACAAAGAATCTAGATTGGGACAGACAAACAGGAGGCCTTTCCTGCTGCTGTCCTCGTCCTCAAGCTGCACTGAGATTTGTGACCCTGGGGTTCTCAGCCGGGGGTGGGGCCCAGAGCACTCAGAAAGCTTTTCATTTATTGGGGAGTCTCAGTTTAAATGAAGCATCAGGTGAAGCCTCTCTGATACCCACTGCTGCTCAACATCTCCCTAAATAAATTCCTCCAAAATGAGCATCTGTGCGAGGAGACTGTGAAACCACTGAACTAGACGGCTCCGTGTGCAGAAAAAAGGTTTCCTGGGGATGAAACTGCCGAAGCCATCTCTAAGTGTGTGAGTGCCAGAAAGAAGAGCAAAACGGTGGGGAAACAGGCAGATCTTACATGACAGCAGGTGGGGTCTTTTAGCTGATACAGGCTATACGAATTGACTGGAACTAGATGCCCTTGACTAACATAGTTGACTTTGGGGGCAGATTAAGGGAGGTTCCTGTGGTTTAATGGAGGTGCCTGGTAGACAGAAACCCACCTTTAAGTCTCTGTTTACCCAATAAAAATTCTTCTGTTAGCCCAGTCAAACAGTCCTTCTGTTTAGGACATTATCACTGGTACTGCCATTTTGGGGAACTGCTTCAGAGACTACGTGGTTCTAACACTAAGAAAGTCAGTGTCTGTATTCTTACAGATGATGCACAGTTTAATGGAGATGGGCTAGTTTTAGGTATGAGTTAGCCAGAAATATGCTTAGCTATTGGCCAAACAGTATTGCAAATAATATGGTTTCTGTGTGACTATTTCAGTTCTGGGCAGCCAGGAACAAACAAGCTGCAGTTTTACTACACTAGTTCATCTGGAATCATCCAAACTGGACATGATCACTCATTCACCTGGCAACTGCCAGGCAAGGCCATACCCAGTCAGTTAGAGACAGGAATAGGGTGCTTATAGGGCCATTCAATATCTATATCATCTCAATGAGGGTCTCTTTAGTACAGATGGACTTCTCATCAGTGGCTCAGGGTATGTGTGTGTGTGAGAGAGAGAGAAAGAAAGACAGAGAGACAGAGACAGAGACACAGAGAGAGAAAGCATGTGTCTGAGAATGAAGTGTGTGTATGTGTGTGTGAGAGAGAATGTGTGTAAGTGTATGAGAGTGTGTGTGTATGTATGTATATGAGAGAGTGAGTGTGTGAGTGTATTGCGTATTGTGTGAGAGAGCATGGGTATATGTGAGTGTGTATGTGACAGAGTTGTAATGGAAGAAGGTAAGACTCCTCAGACAGACCCGACAGCTCTACTCTCTGGAGCAGAGACGCCAGGCTCCGCTCTCCCAGGCAGCTCCGACCCAGGATGGATGTAGGCTAGAATCTTCCTGGTAAGCGTACCTTGGGGTGCTTACACACATCATTAGAAATGGGCTAGTCCAGGTGCGAGAGTTAGCCGAGAAGAGGCTGGATATAATGGGCAAGCAGTGTTTAAAAGAATACAGTTTGTGTGTTGTTATTTCGGGCATAAGCTAGCCATGTGGGCTGCCTGGGCGCTGGGGACGCAGCCCCACTGCTCCAATAACAACAGAGTTGTGTGTATGTGAGAGTGAATGAGTGTATGTAAGAGTGTGAGTGTGTATATGTGTGTGAAGTGTGAGTGTGAGAGAGTGAGTGTGTGAGGATGAGTGTGTGTATGTATGAGAGTGAGAGTGAATGTGTGTAAGGGTGAGTGTGTATACGTATGTGAGTGTGTGTGATAGAGTTAGTGTGTATGTGAGAGAGAATATGTGTTGTGAGTGTGAGTGTGTGAATGAGAGGGGGTGTGTGTGTATCTGAATTTGTCGTTTTATGATACACGAGCAACTTCCTAGTGTTACACACAGTTGCAATGCTATGCAGCACACCT